AATTACTGAAATAGTTCATACTCAGAGTAGGTCCACGCACTTCGTTTTCATTTGTTGTAGACAGAGCTCAGACAGGACGGATGATGTGAATCCCGTAGGAAATCATCCGACAATTGAGATGTCCAGAAATCGCAGCTGGACACAACAACAAGAGCGAAACAAATCAGGAGAAGAGGAAAGATGAAGTACTACAACGCGTTATATAACTAATGTGCACAGAATAAAAAAACCACAAAACAAAGGTTCAACTCCCTGACAACCGAGTTTGCACGATGACTAGTTCCTTTTCAATCTTTCAATCTCTACTTATTTATATATGCAATCGGTGATAATCATACATCTACATTATTTGAGTTACTTGCTTTGGACTGATCATAGACAGATATGGAACGGTGTGACGTGATACATACGAATCCAATTCACCAGAAAACAAACTGAAAGTTTATATGATGAATTTGTCGTGTAAATGAGACATGAGCTGAAACGCTGGGAGGCACTGGACAGCTTTGCAGCGACCGAGTAGGTGGTATGGTTGCGTTCTGCCCCCATGAGGTCTCGGATTCGAACCCCAGTTGGGCCGATGGATTCGAACTGCTGATGAGACCCAACCAGGTCGAAACAGCCGTTCAGTGCTTCCCCACTTTTATCAGCTCACGCTTCGTTTGAAGAACGAATTCAACCTTAAAAACTGTAAGCTAGTAGTGGTAGGTTTTTGGTTGATCCTCGAAGGTGGTAAGCTAAGACAAACTAGTGGGGCGGTGCGCTACCGGGTATAACCGGGTCGCGTATCGGTGAAACGACAATTCAGGAGGTGAAATGCAAATAAGTGTGCATTGACTGATTGAAAATCCGATCGTGATTGATCAGCCACGACATCTGAGAACGTGGCAAACAGTTTAGTGGCAAGCGATCTTCGTAACAATGTGTAAAAATGGCCTTCAAGAACTGCATGGTGCGAGAAGAGTTGATGTACCGCCATTACCCTGCTGCTATACAAGTCACATCTAGGTGATTACACAGATTAGAGGAGCACCTCGGAAAAAAGGATTGAGTGGTTCTTTGGATGTCACTGAGGTTCTTCAAGGATTCCTTCGTGAAGATAAAGCATTGACATGTGGGAGCCGGTAGTGTCAAGCAAGCAACAAACAAGCGTCCACAAATGAATTGGGTGTAATGTTCGATGCAATGACTTACATGACTTAACAAGGCGAGAGAGAGAAGGTGCGCGTTGCGAGATTGAAACTCACCTCTAGTCGACTCTTTTTGTCACTCTCCCAATGTTGAAGAAATTGATCCACACGATCCACCAACGCGTCCGTGACACAGACACTGTCAGTCGCTGAAGGGGAATCAAACAAGCTGGAGTGCATGTTCGAAGAAGATTGAGCGGACTGCGAATTGACCGATACGGGATCTCCACTTACAGCGGAGTGAATCCAACGAGCCAAAAATGCCGGACTGGAATGTGTATGTGAATCAAACGATGCTACAGTATCGGGGAGGGTCATCTCCGAGGGACCGGAGATTCGCCCTAACAGCTCGTTCAAATTTGTCCCGGTAGCCGTGTTGCCTGGTTGTAGACGATTCAAATGATGAACGAATCTGACAACGGTAAAGTATGAGTGAGCGGGAATCTATCTATTCTCCAAGAAGTCAATGAACAATCGTGATGATACACCGACAATCAAAGATAAGCGGTACATATTAATAACCATTTGCATTGGTATGCTGAAACAGGTAAGATGTCCACAGTGGATTTCACACAACGCGAACTGCGCAAATGTGACAACATATGGGACTGTGGAACTAGCTTGTTTACACACATTGTTGTCTAATGTGTTCCTACGCTCACTGGGGTAAACTAGAACTGTGGTTCGCACCACATTCACGACGTCTATTTGTTTCCCACTCTGAACTGGCAGCTAAAGTGACACTGACTAGTGCTGATTATGATCCGGCCTTATCAGTTTGTAGGCTGCATGTATGGTAAAACACCAACAAAAAGACAACTGTTCTTTCTGTTCTCTGTAATTGTTTCTTCTTTTCACACGGTTCTTGTTGCCAACTTCAGGCGTCTGTGGCACCGTCGCGACATCCGGTTGTCTCTGAAGGTCGAGTATATGCAGCAGTAGTTCATCCAGTTCTGTTTTACGATGCAGAGACTTGGCCATTACGGGAACAAGATAAACATAGATTGTCGGTGTTCGAACACCGCTGTCTACGTAGCATTGCACGGGTTTGGTGGGGAAACCGGACGAGCAATGCTGAGATTAGACGTAGAGTTTGAGGTATTCACGGTCGCCCACTGGCACAAGTGGTCGACCTTCTTAGATTACGTTGTTTGGGGCATGTGTTACGCATGCCACCAAAAAGGCTGTCATGGCGAGCGATGTTTGCCGAGGCAGGTAGTGGATAGAATAAAGCCCAGGGTGGTCAACCAGGAGTCTGGGTTACATAGGTCCCGTCGGGCTCCCTGGATGGTGACCTAGGGATGATAGTAAACGATGGTTAGAGACACTGAGTGATATGGTGGCTAAGTGTCGTAGATAGTGGCGTTCGTGGATCTGCTCAATTTCTTTGCAATATTCATCCAATAAAATTCTCCATTTTTTTACTGGATTCTACTTTACACTTTCCTGTCTTTCTTCTACTGATCATTCACCTAAAAGAAGGCAACCAAATGTGGGGCACAAAAAAACAGAGCTAATAGTTGTTCAAACTGAAACTGAAAGACGGTTTCTCGTCTGTCGTTGGATCCCCATTTTCCACTTAGTATTATTATTATTATTATTATTATTACTGTGTGTATGAAACATCGATCAACGAACGCAAGGTTTTCTAAGGGCAATAACATCACAATCGGCAATCCAAAAAAGGATACGAGGCAATCAGCTGAGATGATAACAATGCACTCGATGTAACAGATGAACTTCTCAAATCAGACAACGATGACACATTATCAGATGCCCTTCCGCATCGAATCAGAATGCAAAAGGGGTGGGGTCAAGTAAGAACAGGGTTAGGCGATAGACTTACCGCTCGTTATCAAAACCGTCCCAATGCAATGCAGTACTGAGCAACCGGATCACAGCTCCACGAGACACTGGACCCATTCCCAACGGCATACTACTTGGTGTATCCGTGACGTCAGTGGGACAGTGCAAATGTCGTGAGGTTGTCAACAAACCCAGGGCGAACAGTCCGGCCACTTCAACGCGCTCCAACAGGGATTGTAAAGACTGACCACACTGTCGAGCGACGGTCTGAATGGTCTTATTCTCACCCAGTCGTGTCACTATTCCGTCATCATCAGCCTCTGTGGGTTGAGTGGCTGAGACCTCCTCGTCCTGAGATGCTGATGGTACGACAGTGCTGAGCAACTCCGCTACGGAATGAATCAAACCCATGGCCTCAAGAATCACCGAGCCGGAAACGATGCTATATGATAAGAAGTGAAAAATAACCCGAGGGAACTAAGCAATCAGACTGAAAAAAACCATGGAAACAGATCGATGATTTGATAAACAATGATGAAAATTCGAAAGGAAGCGACAGCAACAGCAACAAAACAATTACCAAGAATTCATTTCCATGTGAAACTGAGGCCCATTCATGACCTCGGATATCGGATCACAGGTTGGACGAGAGAACAAATTGAGCAACGGATTCGCTTTCAGCTGTTTCACACAGATTTGATGCATGAATTCGGACAATACAGACAGGTGATCGATGAGGACACTGGAGGTTGGATTGGTGAGAAAAGTGCACTCGGTGTTGTTGGTCAACGAATCCGAACTGGTCGTACGTTTTTGGAGCTGACGGACAACCTCATCGGCCAGACGAATGAATAGGGACAGATGCAACAAACGTCCGCATAGAACAGAGTCTGTCATACTCGGACCGAACGTATCGGTTGATCTGAATGCGGTCGTGTCACCGAGTTTGCGCATTCCATCGATAATGTGTTCAAGCAGTAACTCATGAATTGCGACATCAGGGCCTTCAGAAGGAAGCTAGCAAAAATAAAACGAGAGAGAGAGGGGGGGGGAATGCAGTCGAGTGAAACAAGAGGGACTGCAAAGCATCAGTTAACTGGTACACCACATGGAGTAACACCAATGAATAAAAGTTATGGTTTTTGTGATCCACACTAAGAGGTTTTGAATAGGAACAATGTGGAGTGCAATGATGTTATTAATGTTATCATTTCACAAAGCAGTGCCAGGATGAGGATAGTTATTTATTATTAGTAATTGTCAGCGTATCGGTAAATTGGCATTCATACAACAATATGTTTCATTTGGAACGAGTGCTCCGAATTCGTGCACGCATGCACATAGGATAGTTATTGCGACGGTCCATTAAGAGATGTGCATTCTTGTAGCTAACATACTGAATGGGAGCAATTCGTTGAAGGAAACCACCAACCAATCACACCTGTTAGTGTACTACTCACAACATTGGTAGTAGTATTGTTGACAGGAACACAAAAAGAGCTAAAGCATGCAAAGTTTAATCTCCGCCGCCCTTTTCTAAGTGATGGTAAAAACATTGTAGGAAGCTCGCCAAAATATCCCAGTGAAGAAGTTCAGAGACAAATAGTTATGGTGAAAAACGCATATTTTTTGCATTGAAGAGATCTACAGTCACAACAGCATCTCTCGGACCCCCACCATAATCATTATCTTCAAAGATCTTAGTGCCATAAATCCACAAGGCAGTACTGCGACGAGGAGAGCTAGGGAATGCGAACAACGTGAAGGGTATCAGTAAATTGGCACCCATTTGCAACAGGTTTTCCGAATTCCCACAAGCACACCGAACCATTACTGGAACGGCCGATCAGTAGATGCCTATTTTAGGTAGTTAAGAAAGTAAATCATTTAATCCGATCGCAAATTCCGTGGAAATCCAATAACCGCTTCTTGGTGCGAGCAAACTACTCACATGTGTGCTAGTAGTATCTCAGCAGGTAAAAAAACGCAGATTATCAGTGTTGATTGTGGTTTAGCTTGAACTCAGCTCTGGCGTACACGAGGACATAACAACGCTGTCTCTTTCCACATGTTTTATCTACCCGAAAGAGTTATTTGTGACAAATGCATATTTGCCCACTTTAGTCCAGCATCGAGATGCACATTGCGACCAGTAGTTTTTAAAGGAAAAAACAATTATTTTTGTCACATAAAGAAACGACAATGGTTTTTTTTCTCGGTTGTCACCCCTACGAAGACAACAAAGAGGCTTCAATGAAGTGTGAGAGGTGAGATAACTGCTCTGCCACCTTTCTCAGATCACAAACGAGTATGGAGAAGTCAATTTGGCAAACAAACTCAATTTCGGTTTGTTCCTGTGGAATCACTTGAATTGCTCGTCACTTGACCAAAAGCATTCGAGAACATCACCACCCTCTGGTTGGCTTGCTTGGTGGTCGCGGACTGAGGAGAACCGGGGAGGGCGGTGATCACAGCTCATCTGGTCGAAACAGCACACCGAGTCAGAATACGTGAAGCGGCCAGATCTATTATCTATCTACACGATCACCGGGGTCTAGCATTGATTACGGTTAACAACCGAAGCGATCACGATTCGGTTGACTCCCTCCCCCCCTCGCTTTGCTCTGTGCATTTAGAAACAGTCGGCCAGAGTTCTGGATGATCAGCCATAGACGCTAGAATGACATAGAGCCGAGTATCAAATAAGTGTCAAATTGTTTATGTATTTGATTCATTTGACAGTACAAATGATATTTGCAGAATGATTTGAACTTTCATGCACCCATTACTGTATGATCGACACAGTATCCATACCCCCGCGCATACAAACACAGACATGATCTACGATTTTTCTGTTTTCTCGAGTTATGTGATTTTGGGATCTATGAGACAGTGTTGTGTATTTGGCTAATAACTGACGCACCGAAAACGAGCTTATTTGCCAAATTGACTTCTTGATGCAGTTCAAAGGAATTTTCCAGTAACCAACAAGCCGCAGATCTAATCATACCTGGAAGATCGAAGGGTAGAGGTCGGATGAAGTCCAGTCTCCTGGTCCTCCGGGTTGGGAGTTCGACTAAAATCTGCTTTCCACTCGGTAAAAAAATGGTGGAGGAGTAATTGATCCAAGTAAATGGGCCTCCACTTCCCTTCACCCGCTGCTTCGCGGCTAGGTCCTTCTCAGAACTGAAGGCTTTGGTTGAGAACCCTAGTCGTTCTCCTGCTTAAAGGCTGGACACCCTAGCAGTACCCATCCATCAAACCCCAATGCATATACATTGAGAGTTTGGCAGCGATCAGTGAAGTTCGCTTTTCAGTATTGCGCTGTACGATGATGATCATGATCATGAACATGATGATGTTATCTTTTGATTACAGTGAAACCTTCGGAACCGGATCGCATTTTGTCACACGAATCAGAGTTTTGTGTCAGGCAATACGACCACAGTTGTGAGAAAATGTTTGTTCATTGGTCAACATAGTTAAATAGGTACCAGTGGATCAACATCGGCCTCGCAAACAGAATCCAGTACATAATCCGATGATCATGGTAAAAAAATTTCGGGGTTGAATCTAGATTTGCTGTTTAATGGAAGCATTACAATTTATCGCTTGGGTTTTGTAAGCCAGTACGTAACACTTAGTTGAATCTAACTTTCAATATGCGCAAATTTGCAATCGGTGCAGAACACGGGGTTAAATTTGAGACAATCACGGTCTAAGTGGAATTTCGCACACCAAATCCTTCAGGGTCTGGGTCGAAGAAGTTTCTCTTATATGCTTCACGTCTACACGTACGCTCGATTATGGTTAGAGAAAATGAATGATATGATAAACTGTCACAAACAGTAACGCTCCTGTTCCTACTACTCATTATCCTTACAAACTGAGTCGATGCGAATTTTGCATCTTCTCTTTGACCCTGCTCTCAACATTTCAATATTTCTTCTACTGTTTTGTCCAAAATGGTAGCCTAAAGATAGGAACCGAAATTGTAGCACGTAGGTGCTTGATTATGGGTTGATCGTGACAGGCATTTCCTACCCGACCGATCGAGGTCCGTTGATGTCGTTTTCGTTAAATCATTCAACAATCCTGAGGAAAAACAGTTCAGTTCCGTTCAGTTTTTACAATCAATCACTATGCACATTCGTGCGCCGGTTTTGGTTGCCCATCTGGATAAAACAGCAGAATGATGAGAGCAGATTTAAGCAGAAAATAGCGCATTTTCATAGACTGAAGTTACAAGAATAATGAGTAGATGCATGAGCGCCACCGTTTGCGACACCTAGTCATATCGCTCAGTGTCTCTAACCATCGGTGACCATGATCTCTGGGTCCCCAGCCAGGGAGCCTATCGAGATCTACATGAGCAAGGATTCTGGTGAGGGTTTTTATACCCTCGTGCCAGGTTTTAGTTTGACCGTTCTTGATTTTATTCCCAACCGCTACCCGCCTCGACAAACATCGCTCGTCGGGGCAACCTGTCTGTGAGATGCGTAACGCATGTCCCAACCAGAGAGAATAACAGCCAAGTTGTCTACCACCACAGTTCAGTCGTGGTGGTTGGTTTCGAACCTCGAACCCTGGTAACCAAAGTACGACGATGAGAACAAATAAAACGGTTTGACTACCATCACCCTGGTGGAATAAGTGGATCAGACATTGAGTCGATCGATGAACAAATCGAGATCCATTTCAAACTTATGATTGTTTGACATGTAGCTGTTCAACGGCCTCCATTTTCTATCCGTCAATATACATATATGGAACGGCAAAATGCGGTCCGTGGGAGAAAAACTTGAATTCATTGTTTATCATACTTCCGAGTAGAAAACAATACCTTGGTGGTTAATTGAAGCAACAAATCCAGAGCGGCCGATGCGACTAGATCATCGCCCGAATTGGAAGACAATGCGAACAGAGTTTGAAGCGGTTCCGATTCGTGTTCATCGGTTGCACCATTCTCCACTTCCATTGGTGCATTTCTCTGATTACCGTTAATCACCGAGCCAGTGGACTCGGAGAATACCAAGCTGCGAATGTATTCACCTACTTCCGGATTGGTCTGATTCTCCGCCAATCGGTACAGCAGATGAAGAAGCTGAATGGAACGAAAGTTTAATAATAATAATAATAATAATAATAATAATAATAATAATAATAATGTGCACAGAGGCTTCATTTCACCTCCGATGATCGATCATATAACCGACAATAAAAGCATATTTTAATTGCCACAAAGCACAAATTCATGAATGTTCAAACGACAGCGAAAAGATCATTTTCCTTTTTATGTGATGATACTGACTGAGCACCTCTCATCTAGTTGATTCAACACAGCACCGTCAGCAATGAATGAACCATAAGGCCACGAAGACCAACCGTTCTGTAAGGATGTGAGAGGTAGGCCGAGCTAAAAGCTATTCGGAACGGCGATGGCAAGGGATAGTGAGTTAGACCGGGGGGACGGGGCTGCCCTTGTGTGAGCCTTGTGCTCCAATGCAACAATCACCAGTCTGAAAAGGAGGAAATCTGAGTTTATTGGTTTCCCTGACCTTAGATTTTCTCCGCAAAGATTTGGTGCTAGAATTTACACCGAGGGGATCGATCGGGGAACGTTGGTCTAGAATGTTTAGCGTCCAACTCCGTGAATGGGGCCATGTAATTCATCGGAGAGCAATCAATCAAATTGGAGGAAAAGTAGCCGGAGGAGGGGAACATGATATGAGGTATAACTAACCCTGGAGCAGTTTGGCGTGAAGAAAAATACTACAGAACCAACTGAAAGCAAAGTGCACACTCACCTTTAGCAATAGGGATGTATCTTTGGATTTCAATTGAATCATTATTTCTTGGATAGATTCCTTGAGCTCCGGAAAACTGGAATTTATGAGAGACAAGAGTATAACGTTTGATTCGATGAAACATTCACTGTAAGCAAAAAAAATGAGTCGACCGGCCTAACCTAACCAAACGGGGCCCAATGTGGTTCGCTAATCCGAAGTCCCGCGGGGCTTAGGTTAACGGTTTTCAACACACACACACACACACACACACACACACACACATACATACATACATACATACATGCATAACACCAATCTTTATAAATACGGTGCCAAAATAACCATGGGTGAGCGAGAAATATAGGTACAGAAGCGGGGAAAATAAAGCAGTCAACTTCGGGGGATAACATTTTTTGTTTCTTTGTTTACTGCACGCCATTTTGAGTTTTTTTTCGTTTTCTGTTCATATTTGGGATTGCAAACAGGAGAGGATGCATTCGCGCCAATGACTTCGGTTCGATGTCATTTACCGCAGTTACTCCAGCCAAAGACAGTCTGAATCGTTGGGGCCTCAGCCGAGAAACCCCAACGGAGGTCACATTCGAACACAATCTCTTTAACCCTCTGTGCCACGTCCCAGTCTGCCCACCTAGCTGTTTCTACCAGCCCCGGGGAACGATGTCTGCGAATAGTGCACCGTGTGGCAGACGGTGCTCAGGCATTCGTAAGACATGCCCTAGCCACTTAGGACGATGCTGTGGAATTATTTGGCTCAAAGGAAGACTATCTGATCCCAGTAGGTTTTTTGGCTATAAGATTCATCCTATCTGCTGGTCATGACACAAGCGTGTGTGATAAAAAATAGTTTGAGCACCTGTATGTGTGTCTTTACGGGTTAAAATAAATCATTATTTT